CCCCATGTTGGGATTTGGAATAACATATTTGAAACTCCAATGCAGTCCTGGGGTGTCTTGCATTGTCGGAGGTGCGATACTTAAACTGGGGTACTGTCTGCAGTTCAGATGGATATTAAAAATCTGTCAGCAATAGCAACCTGGAGGATTGCGACCCCGTTTGCTCGGGAACTGGCTCACAAATACTCTTAAGTATGATAATCGCGTTCCACATGATATGGCTTTCAGACATCCCGGGCTGACTAAAAGAAACCTAAAAGATTATTTGTTTATAGTAACTTGTGAACAAATGTTTCACAAATGGTGTCCTGTTTTGCTGATTTGAGACTGAAAGGGACAAGTCAGAACAAAGCATTTATGGATCAACAAGAGATTCTTCTACTGTGCAGCAGAGAAATTCTCCGCCTGATAACTCCGAGCACTTTTGCAGGAAATAAGTGATTGAACTCACTCATTGCTCACAGATAACTTAGCTCAATTAGAGCTCACTTAAACAGACTCATTAGTTGTACCAAATATTCTAGGTTACAAAGCAATTACTAACATTCATTATAAACATTACAATTGTTTGTTCTCGCCACTGTGAACACTTACTTTTCTTTCGCTACGTATGACTTACCCTTTTTAGCTTGGTAATGTTACCATATTTCTTGAATGGTTCTATAACTTTAGCTTCCAGCCTTTCAACCTAGAAAATAAAAACAGAATCATTTCTAAACAGAGTGAAAATGCAGGGAAATATATACAAAAGTGTGCAGAGCTTGGTAGAAACAGAAGGGAAGCTCAGAGGGGCAATGACCTCTGTAATATTCATAAAATAAAAGTAAAACAGAGTAAAACATGATTGGCTTCAAAAGCTCTGCTTTGCACCTAATCAGCAACACATTATTTCTTGCAAATACTACAATTAAAAATTGATTAAACGTTAATACATTGGGGTTGAGCACATTTTTGACTCCATATCTATAACCACTGCAAGTCCTCTCTCTCTCTCTTTCACACACGCAGAGTCTAAAAATGACCAAGTCTAGTTAGCAGGCAATTAAATGAGTACAATTGCTCACCTGCGCTTGTCGATAATCTTGCACTGTTGCAAGCTGATCTGCAAAGTTGACCAGGCCAGATTTCACATTAGGAGTTTCCGTTTCAGCATATGTTCGGATTTCTTTCACCAAGAGATCAGATTTGTCACGCAGCCTAGCAGTTTTTCGTACATAGGCTGCAAATAAGCCGCAGAATTCACCAAAGTACTTTTCCACATTTGCAACAGTGCTCTGAATATATTTGTTTTGATTGTCTCTGAAAATGTAAAGAGAAATATCATGAAGAATCTTTAGATGTCTCAGTAAGTGGAACTTTGCATCTTTGCAAGTAGAACCTTGATTATCTACTTCACTTGCATTTCCGAAGTGCTACGGAATTTAAAATAGTTCTCAAATCATCTTTTATCAATTAGATAATCATATCAATCTGCCTTTTCAATGACTGAATTTAACTTTACTTTTACTCCCCTGCCCAAACCCCACACGCATTCCTCTCTATCTCTCTTGACAGCACTACTCATGCTGCTGACTGCCACAGATGTCATCAGACCTCAAAGTACCTTGCCTGACATGCCCAAGCCTATTATCTTCATTGGAATATTCCATTCGCAACTCATCCTAATCTTGTCTTCATACATGATATACGTACATATCTAGATAAGGACCATCCTTATTTAGATATCATAAAATAAAAGTGAAATAGAGTAAAACAAGATTGGCTTCAAAAGCTCTGCTTTGCAATCAGGCAAAAAGTTATTTTTTGCAAATATTAAAATTGAATACTGATTAAACATGTGGAGTCCTGTAACTTAGTGGTTAAAGCACTCGCCTCACAAGCGAGAGACCTGGGTTCGATTCCCGGCAGGCGAATCGCTGGGCAAATTTCCTTACTCCATACACCTCTGTTCACCTAGCAGTAAGTAGGAAACTGGTTGTTAGTCAATTGGTGGATCGCTTTTCCCGGGGTAATAGTCCCTTCCAAAAAATAAGTAAATAATAATAATTTGGTCACTCAATCCACGACTGTTTGTGGGACACTGCTATGCGCAATTGGCTCCAGCGTTTTGCCAACAAAAATATGCAGTTAAGTCACTTTACAGTATATTCTGTAAAGCGCTTTGAGACGTCTTGAAGACGTGATAAGGCGCTATATCAAATGCAAAGATTATTATTATCCATTAAAATAGTTTCCCCCCCAACATAAAATAATCATACATTTTGGTGATTTATTTTAGATCATCAAAAAATAACTTTCTATAGCAGGCCAGAACTATTAACTTTATTTTCCGGATAAATAACGTTTTTTGATTAAGGTAACAAATCTGACAGATCTTTTCGCATCGAGAATTGACACATGATGGGATGCAACACAAAACTGAACGCACATGCATTCCCAGAACCCAGTCACAAATTACACGATGTGCTCATTAATTAAATAATCCTTGCATTTCAATATTGTGTCTTATCACATCAGCAAAACATTTTAAAGTGCTTCACAGGATTTACTGTAGACAAACTGTATTCTCTTTCCATGTTGGGATGACTGCTCACCATTCTGCTCACAAGGCGTTCCTGGTACAGTACCTGTTATCCACCTGGAATACTCAAACCTACACGTCAGAAGTCAAATGACCCACTGAGATTTGGGTGAATTAAACTACTCCTGAAACCACTTCCTCAGGGTGCTGAGGGGAGGGGGTTGTTCCAGCACAACTCGGAATGGCTCAAAATTTCATTGCAAATTTTGTTTCCAACTCATCAGGAAGAGTGCAGTATGAACTCAACATGATTAAAGAGCTGGATAAATATCTGGGCATGAAATGATTTGAAGGTTTAATTGCTGAGGACAAATGATGGAATACTATACAGAACGTGATGATTCCTGAGTTGTTGGGAAAATGGAAATGATTTCCAAAGGAAAACAATTGACTGAGGATGAACAATGCAAGATAACAAATTGGATAGCTTTCCTCTAGCAGGCACAAAATAATTGTACGGAAGAAACTAATAAATGTGTTGGGTCGAGTGCCCAATACAATACTTGGTCTGTGGAAGGAGTTGGCTTGATGCATTGAATGGTCTATTTACGTTTTAGGTTTTATTTTTATTCAACAGTCATAATATCTCTCACATTTCAGCTGTTCAGTGTGATTTGTCACAATTACAACCAGTTATACGGTTCAGAAAACAGAACAATCCCATTTATCCCTTCCTTTCAACTTGAAAACTTTGGATTGGAAAATGGGGCTCAAAATAAATAATAAAACCAATTTCTGATATGTTTGTGAGCCATAAATAAATTGTGACACCAGAATCGTTTCCCTGTTTACCATCGTGGAGTCTTACTTATGGGAATTCCCTGGACTGAGTAAAACATTCTCATTTTGCTGCATATACTGTAAAATCTATGTGAAATTTATTAAAGATGGATAGAGTGAATATTCCCACACTGCATTCTCAATTACAAACACAAATTTAGGGACAAAGCCAAACAAATCACAAAAGGCCTGAAAAATGTTTGTTTTCAGAAATTACAAAATACAAAAATACAAAATTACATTTGTAAAGCACCTTTCACGTCGAGAGGACCAAGGCGTTGGACAGTTAGGGGTTTGGACCCAAGCTGGAGGTTGGGATTGGGGAGGGTAGGAGAGTGGTCGTAAGGCTCAGTCAAAGAGGAAGATTTTGAAACGCGCCTTGAAGGAGTCAAGGGAGAGAGCGAGGTGAAAGGAATGTGGGATGGAAGCCCTAGGGTGAGGGCAGAAAGGCTGAAGGCTCGACTGCCGATGATGGAGCAGGCCCCAGACTGCTGAGAGGAGGGAGCGGACAGGTTGATATGGGGTCAGCAGTCAAAGATATAGAAGGGGGCAAGGCCATGGAGGGCCTTGAAGGCGAGGACGAGGATTTTGAATTCTATCCTCTGGAGGATGGGGAGCCAGTGGAGCTGGGCAAGGTTGGGTGTGATGAGGTCACGGAGCCTGGTGCGTGAGAGGACATGAGCTGCAGAGTTCTGGATGATCTGCAGCTTGGGGAGGGAAGAGTTGGGAAGGCCGACAAGGAGGAAATTGGCATAGTCGAGCCTAGATGTGACGATTGCATGGATGAGGGGATTGGTGGCCTGGGAGATGAGGCAGTAGCGAAGTCGGGCAGTGTTGCAGAGGTGAGGGCAGATACAAGGGTCATGGCATGGATATGGGGTAGAAAGGATAGTTGGGGGTCAAACAAGACCCCAAGGTTCCAGACTGGCTCAGTGAGGTGGAGTGTGCAACCATGGATGGTGATGCTCTCAGTCCCTGAGTTGTGAAGGCACTGACGGGAGCCAATCAGGAGGCCTCGGTCTTGATGATGTTCAACTGTAGAAAGTTAGCTCCCATAATAATAATATGATACTCCTTGCGTTTGATATAGCACCTTATAGCAGGTCTTCAAGAAGTTTCAAAGTGCTTCACAGAATATACTGTAAAGTGAATTGACTATATTTTGTGTGCGAATCGCGACAGCCATCTGCAAACAACTGCGTTCCACACACTGTTGTGGATTGAGTGCCCAAACTATTATTATTTAAGTACTCAAAGGGTTAATTAAATACTCAAATGGTTAATTAAATCAAAATCATAAATGATTGTATTTGGTTTTTTTTACAATACAAATACAACAGGCCATTCGTATTTTTCAAAGAGAAATCTATCTCCTGAAAATCAAAGAAGCTGATAAGATTGTTCATCATCAAAATCTTGAAAATGAATTGGTATTCATGAATGTGTCCAGAATCTGACCACACACTGGTCTTGAGGTCGGTATTTATTTGTGCAGTCAATATGTATCAGTCAGCCTGGCTCAGTTGGTAGCACTTTGTCTCTGAGTCAGTAGATTTGGGTTCACAAGCCCCACCTTGAAACTCAAACTCAATGTAGTCTATGTTTAAACTCCAATGCAGTGCTGGGGGTGTCACATTGTCTGATATATGTTCCTTTGCATAAGACATTAAACCAAGGTCTCATCTGAGTGTTCAGGTAGAGGTTAAATAATAATAATCCTTGCATTTGATATGGTGCTTTATCATGTCTTCGAGATGTCTCAAAGCACTTCACAGAATATACTGTAAACAACAACAACGACAACAAAAGAGCGCCTTTCACGTCGGGAGGACGTCCCAAAGCGCTGAACAGTCAGATGTCGGGGCCCGAGCATGGGGGAGGGGTGGTGTAGGGGTGAGGGAAGGCAGAGAGGTGGGAGGGAGACCAAAGGCATGGTCAAAGAGAAGGGTCTTGAGACCGGCCTTGAAAGAGGCAAGGGAGGAAGCGAGGCAAAGGGACCGTGGGATGGAGTTCCAGAGTGTGGGAGCAGAGAGGCTGAAAGCCCGGTCACCAATGGTAGGGTGGATCGGGCGGGAGACTTGGATCAGACCAGAGACTGATGAATGGAGGGAAGCGGACAGGTTGGTAGGGAGTCAGCAGGTCAGAGAGGTAGGAGGGGGCAAGGCCATGGATGGCCATAAAAGTGAGGACAAGGATCTTGAACTTAATCCTCTGGGGGATGGGGAGCCAGTGGAGTTGGGCGAGGGTGGGAGTGATGGGGTCACGGATCCTGGTGCATGAGAGTTCCTGACTGGCTTCCGACGGGCTTAGTGAGGTTGAGTGTGCAGCTGTGGAGGCTGATGCTGCCAGAGCCTGAGGTGCGGAGGCGCTGGCGGGAGCCAATCAGGAGGGCCTCAGTTTTGCTGACGTTGAGTTGGAGAAAGTTGGCCCTCGTCCAGGACTTGATGTCGGACAGGCAGTCGGTCAGGATGCCAGTAGTCCTGGAGTTCAGGGTGGAGGCAGAGAGGTAGAGATGGGTGTCATCCGCATACATGTGAAAATTTACCCCATGTCTGCAGATGACGTCACCAAGGGGGAGCATATAGAAGGTGAAGAGAAGTGAATTGACCGTAGATTCTGTGGGCAAAACGTGGCAAACAATTGCACACAGCAGCGTCCCACAAACAGTCGTGGATTGAGTAGCCAGTATTTTTTCTTTTTTTTAAGGAATTATTACCCCCGGAAAAGTGATCTGCCAATTGACTAACAGCTGGGGTCCTATTTGCTGCTAGGTAAACAGAGGCTTGTGGAGTAAGGAAACTTGTCCAACGTTTCGTCCTGCTGGCAATTGAACCCAGGTCTCTCACTTGCGAGGCGAGTGCTCTAACCACTGAGCTGCAGGACTCCACTGCAGATCCCAAGGCACTATTTGAAAAGAAAAGGGAGTTTTTTCCAGTGTCCTGGAACAACAATCCTCCAAATAAAATCAATCATTCGCATTTGTTTCATGGCTGTTTGTAGGAAATTAGGTTGCCTACAAATACACAGACACTCCACCTCACAGCAAATCCTGTAAAGGGCTTTGGGACATCCTCTCAAGGTGAAAAACTATACCAACTGCAAGGATTATTATTATGACCAAAAGTATACATATTGTATTCATATTTGTGATATTCATACAAAGGCAAGTGATATTCAAGTACTGTATTTCAAAACATAAGAGTAAAAATTCCATTCAGTGTGTACCCTTGGGGTCAAGTGACTCAAGGAGAAATTCTACTTATGGACAACACCACAAAATACTGAATGGAATCTTTACCTATTAATTTGGAGGGATACCCAAGAGATGCCTTAGAACCCTTGGTTTAGGGAAGGGAAAAATAATCAGGTTTACTGCTCCTGGTCATGATCTAGACATTTTTTCTTGGAAGTTTGTTTTTATGAAGTTCTGATCAAACAAGGCAAGAGTGTATTTAGCTGTTCTGTTGTTCAGAACAAAAAAACTCTACCAGTGCTCATAGTTAAGGCTGAATAGTGACTAGTATACTTAACAATATTCCAACATATCAGTAATAA